AAGGGAACTGACTACTTAAAGGGGGCATGATGGAAACATACTTTTAAAATTAATTCTAGTCTCCTACCAAGAGTAACATATAAAACAGGAGGTCTGAGTACTGAAGACACTTTTAAATAGTTGGAACCAGCTAGAAGGTCCTTCCAAGAACAGGGAGGTCAGAGATACAGGGAGAGTAAGCCAACCATGTGATGTTTTGTTTAATAGTTCTTACATTGTCAAATCTTTTTTAGCTTGAAAATTGTCCTTGGATTGCTAGCTCTTTGGGTAGGGATTTGACTGGCATGTTACTGTATCTGGCAAAATGAGACCCCTGCCTTGATCGTAGTTTCTGGGTACTACTGAAATATAAATATTAATAATACTTACACTTTTAAAAAAAAGTTTGGAGTGGAAAATCTATTTTTCTAGTTTCTAATAATGGCCACTTGTTTTTCCTGCCAATTCATGAACTCAGTTTGCTATTGAAAGGTTTGTGGTATCCAGACTCACTCTGTAGCAATCCCAATTTCCTTCTGATTAATTAACGTTTTGTTATTGTTGGAAATAATCTCTTTAAAAACAGACAGACAAACAGCCTTAATATAGATAGTTCAATATCATGTATATTCGGCAGCACAATAGAAACAAATTCTCTAGCAATTCTGTGATATTAATTTACTATATATCCATGAAATTCCTTTCATTACAATGCCTCCCATAATAAAACACACCAGACTATGGTTTGTAGCTGAATAAATACTCCTTAATGAACAATAGAGCTGATTATTTTCTGCTATGATTAATTTTTTGATTTTTTTGCTGTGTTCTCCAGATGGTCTTGGTCCATGGGCTTCTGTAGTTAGAAAGTTGCCTGGGCAGTCCAACTCAGATTTTCTTGTCCTTACCTGAGAGTGCCAGGGAAGAGGGGAGCTTGTAGTCTGCTTCAGCAATTGGCCTTCTCAGCCCTCCAGGCCTCCGCTACTGCTCTGTTTTGTAGGCAGCCTACCAGTCCAAGGAGCACATTTGGTTTTCTCTGATCTCTGGCTGCTAATTAGACTTAAGTTCTGGTCCTCCAACCAACACTCCTGCTGAATTCTGTAGCATAGTGAAGGAAGTGTGCACTGTAACCCAGCTGTTTTCTCCTTGTGAGGAAAACAAGATGCCAGGTGTTTGGCTGCAGCAAAATAATGAGTTCTCCAGTAAAAATGCTGAATGCTGTGATGTCTTGGAAAAATGCTAAATTCTATGGCCCCACAATCCCAAGTCCATATTGCCCTGAGAGGGATGACTGAGGCAGTTTGCACCTTTCAGAGCCATTGTTTCAGGCTTTTTGCAGACTCACACAGGCATCAGTTTGCACTCTGTTCACATCTTAAGATGAAAGCTGAGATTCTGGAGTACAGTTCTTCAGCAAGGAGTGAATTTTGTAGCAAGTTCTTCAATCACAGAATACACAGGGTCCTGACAATGATTAGCTGCTGCCCAAGTACAGTACAATACATGTAATTTGATAATATTTTTATACAAACACTTTGTGTATGTAATCTATAAATTACAGAAAACAAAAGTATAATGATGACATATGGTTATATTAAAGCAGCTAGTGATACACCAATGACAGAGGAAGACAGAAATTAAGATTTAGCATCAATGATTTAGATAATGGCATAGAGAATACACTTATAAAGTTTGCAGATGATACCAAGCTTTGGGTCGGGGGGAGGAATTGAAGTGCTATGGAGGATAGGATTCAAATTCAAAATGATCTGGACAAACTGAAGAAATGGTCTGAAGTAAATAGGATGAAATTCAAGAAGGACAAATGCAAAATACTCCAATTCGGAAGGAACAATCAGTTGCACACATACAAAATGGGAAATGACTAGGAAGGAGTACTGCAGAAAGGGAGTCATAGTGGATCAAAAACTGAATATGAGTCAACAGTGTAACACCGTTGCAAAAAAAGCAAACATAATTCTGGGATGCAGGCCCGCTGACAGCAATTCCAGGCCCCAGGGCGGAACAGTCAATGGGCATGCACAAGCTGCACCCGTGTGGACATGGACTGCCTGACATTTGGGCTGTGCTGTGCCTGCGCTGGCTGGTATCCAGCGAGCTGCCAGCTGCGCTTCCACATGCTCACCCGGTAGGGTTGCCAACTGTCTAATCATGCAAACCCGAAGACCCTTGCCCCGCCCCCTGCCCTGCCCCTTCCCTGAGACCACGCCTCACCCCGCCTCTTTGAGACCCTGTCCCCTGCTCACTCTATTTCCCCCCCCTCCCCCCGTCGCTCACTCTCCCCCACCCTCGCTCACTTTTACCAGGCTGGGGCAGGGGGTTGGGGTGCGGGAAGGGTTGCAGGGGTCAATGGGAGCTGCGGAGACCCCCAATCCCTGGGGCCTCAGGGATGTGCCAGCTGCTTCTAGGAGCGATGCGGAGCGAGGGCAGGCAGGAAGCCTGCCTTAGCCCTGCTGCGCTGCTGCTGGCAGTGGTGGCCAGGGCCCCCCCGGGCCATTTTAAATCGCCCGGCCCCTGGGCAATTGCCCTCTTTGCAACCCCTACACTCCCCCACCTGGATGTATTAGCAGGCGTGTTGTAAGCAAGACACATGAAGTAATTCTTCCACTGTACTCTGTGCTGGTTAGGCTTCAACTCGAGTCTTGTGTCCAGTTCTGGGTGTTGCATTTCAGGAAAGGTGGACAATTTGGAAAAAGTACAGAGAAGAGCAACAAAAATGAATAAAGGTCTAGAAATCATTACCTATGAGGGAAGATTGAAAAAATTGGGTTTGTTTAGCCTGGAGAAGACTGAGAGGGAACATGATAATAGTTTTCAAGTACTTAAAAGGTTGTGACACGGAAAAGGGAGAAGAATTGTTCTCCTTAACCTCTGAGGACAGGACAAGAAGAAATGGGCTTAAATTGCAGAAAGGGAGGTTTAGGTTGGACACTAGGAAAAACTTCCTAACTGTCAAATTGGTTAAGCACTGGGATAAATTGCCCAGGGAGGTGGTGGAATCTCCATCATTGGAGATTTTTAAGAGCAGGTTGGACAAACACTTGTCAGAGATGGTCTATATAATACTTATTTCTGCCTTGAGTGCAGGGGACTGGACTAGATGATCTCTTGAGGTCCCCTCTAGTCCTAAGATTCTGTGATTCTAAAATGCTAAGACAACAGAGAAAGGATCTAAATGTTCAAAGAGATGAAAGCCTGGGTTGTAGACTGATACAAGAAGGCCGTTTCACTGTATAAATCCATGGTATGTCCACACCTTGAATACTGCATGCAGTTCTGGTCGCCACATCTCAAAAAAGATAAATTAGAAGTGGAAAAGGTACAGAGAAGGGCAACAAAAATGATTTGGGGTATAGAGCAACTTTGATCTGAGGAGAGATTCAAAAGACTGGAACTATTCAGCATAGAAAAGAGATGTCTAAGGGGGGATATAATAGAGGTCTATAAAATAATGAAAGGTGTGGAGAAAGTGAATAAGGAAATATTTACTCCTTCACATGACACAAGAACCAGGGTTCACTCGATTAAAATTAATAGGCAGGTTTAAAACAACCATCCGGAAGTACTTCTTCACACAATGCAGTCAACCTGTAGAACTCATTGCTAGGGGATGTTGTGAAGGCCAAAAGTATAACTGGGTTCAAAGAAAAACTAGATATGTTGGTGGAGAATAGGTCCATTAATGGCTATTAGCCAAGATGGTCAGGGACGCAACCCCATGCTCTGGGTGTTCCTAAACATCTGACTGCCAGAAGCTGGGACTGGATAATTGTCCTTTTCTGTTCATCAACTCTGAAGCATATGGCACTGGCCATTGTTGGAAAACAGGATATTGGACTGGATGAACCATTGGTCTGACCCAGTATGGCCATTCTTGTGTTCTTATGTTCTCATGGCAGGAAGTTTCAGAGAAAGTTTTCATAGTAGTAGGGGCAGGATTGTAGGAAACATGAGAGGTAAAAAGATGCTTATTAAAAAGAGGGCTCTAGAGAGAACATCTGTTAGGTAGGCTGGAAAGCTATTTAAAGGCAAGAAAGGCAATTTTGAACTGGATACCAGAATGAAAAAAGACATAAACAAAATTCTTTGTGTACTGTAGTTTGAAGAGCTGAGACCTGAGGTAGCCAAAGAGCAAGGCATTGCAAACATCAACCCAAGAGAAAATGAAGGCATAGGTGAGAATTTCATCAGAGGTAGAGTCTAAATAGTGTATTAAAGGAGAAATATTTTGGAGATGAAATAACCCAGGTATACAGCTATAGAAGATGTGGGAGGAGAGTGCATGATCAGTGATGACACCTTAGGTACAGTTGAGCCAAATTTGGGAGGCCTGAGTTGAAAAGGATGATAGAAAAAATGGTGCAATATTGGAGGATATTCTTTTTCACAATAGCCACATTTTCGCCTGAGACAACTAGCTGATAAAACAGCAATATGTGTATTTGGTCAAGGGAGTTATTAGGAATGACTAGATAACTAAGGTATGTGTAGCTAGGTAACTTAAGTAAGTATTAGAATAACTGATTTCTAGATTACTGCCCTTAACTATGCCTTTCAAATTGGAAATCTGTCTTCGGTTTTGCCATGAAAGCAATTTCAATACGCGTCTATGATGAAACACCTAATGATTTCAAGTTCCATATTTACATATATGTGCTTTGTCATCTTAAAAGAAAATTCTACATTGGATTCTAAATAATTCTGCAGATAGAAACTAGAGCTGGTTAAAATTCTTCTTTCAAAACTTTTCTCAACCAAAATTGGCTTTTTTCATAGTCCAGAAAAGTTTGCAAAAAGCTTCTGAATTTTTCATAACTTTCATTTTTTCATCAGAACTAGAGTATTTCATCATTTTAATTTTAGCTGTTGTTTTCTCCCTTTTCTCGTTTCCTAAATGAACTTGAGAAATAGTTTTACCTATAGCAAATCATTGTCTGCCATATGCAAGGTTACTTCGGAAATTTAAAATTCTAAACGTGTATTTTAAATTATTCTTCCAGTTGTTACGAAACCAGAGATTTCCTGCTTCTTTTCACCATGCGGTAGAAACATTTGTTAATATGCTAATGCCACACATCACTCAGAAGTACAGAGACAATCCAGAGGCTTCAAAAAATGCAAATCATAGTCTTGCTGTCTTTATAAAGGTAGGTACCCACAATAATATAGGCTCTAGGGTTATTATTTTCAGTAATTTTATTTTTCTTGGATTTTCACTTAGCAAGATCTCTCACAGCAGCATATATGGTATAAGGCATTGTAATGGGGCATGGCTTTTCTCCTGCCTTCTTCCTCTCAGAAACTGCATGGACTCCAGTGGATGTGCCTTCACCGAACCCTTTTATTTTAAGTTCTATCCACCATTTCTACAACAATCCCCTTGCAACCATCTATTTACAGCACCACTGTGCCATTTTGGCACTCTCCCCAGAACCTGAGGGGAACAGAGGTCTCCCTCCCCTGAGGCCTTCATGTAACTGAGTTCAACTAGTGCTAGTCCCCTCTCTCTTCACTTGGTACTTCCTTCCTGCCTCTTTATCAGTTTTGGACAAATGGGCTAATTGGCTTCTTATTCCATCCAGCTGGCCAGCCTGATTGTCTATTTACACCCCCCCCCCCCCCAGCCAACTTCCTCCAGAGGGACTAATTAACATCTAAGTGATCAGAGTGCAGGCTCTGTTCACCCTGCACCAGAGGTGCAAGTAAGCTGGTCCGCCCCAGTACGGTGTACCGGCAAGAGCTGGTGCGCGGTACTGGGGTGGACCGGCTTCCCCAGTTAGCAATTTAAAGGGCCTGGGGCTCCCAGCAGCGGCTGGAGCCCCAGGCCCTTTAAATAGCCGCCCGAGCCCTGCTGCCGGAGCCCTGGGGTAGTGGCGGCGGGGCTCCAGGGGCTATTTAAAGGGC